TGGGGACAGGTCTGTCCCTGTATAACACTGGGGTACAGTACCGGTGGGGACAGGTCTGACCCTGTATAACACTGGGGTACAGTACTGATGGGGACAGGTCTGTCTCTGTATAACACTGGGGTACAGTACTGATGGGGACAGGTCTGTCTCTGTATAACACTGGGGTACAGTGCTGGTGGGGACAGGTCTGTCCCTGTATAACACTGGAGTACAGTATCGGTGGGGACGGATTTGTCGCTGTATAACACTAGGGTAGGTTACTGGTGGGGACAGGCATATTACTGTATAACACTGGGGTACAGCACCGGTGGGGACAGGTCTGTCTCTGTATACCACTGGCGTGCAGTACTGATGGGGGCAAGTCTGTTCCTGAATAACACTGTGGTACAGTACTGGTGGTGACAGGTCTGTCGCTGTATAACACTGTGGTACAGTACTGGTGGTGACAGGTCTGTCGCTGTATAACACTGGGGTACAGTACCGGTGGGGACAGTTCTGCCAGTATCAGATAGTGATAAGTTTCTCTACACTCTGTGCTCCGCTTTTAGCTTTGATTATTTTTGTATCATTGTTGTATTGTTTTCCTGTGCAATGTGGAAGAGAGGGTGTTTATCACTAGATGTCCGTAATCCCTGTCTGAATTGATACTTACTGTTGAGCTGTTTAATCCTGCCAAGCTGCACTGACGCTCGTTCACACGAGTTTTCTTTGACTTTGCTGTTCTTTCTCCCCCATGTTGAACTGGCATCATTTCAGCTGGACAATGTGTTGCTCTTGACAACAGCCCCATGTTCTACCTGATTTGTGATGTCATTCCTTGGCCTGGCCATTCATACCATCGAGCTGATCCTGTTAGTCTGTTGTCTCCACATCATCCTTCATCACTGTCTGCATTTCCATCCTTTCATCTTCTCCATCGCTCGATTCACTTTACACCTGCTCCCAGCCTCCGTCAGGTCAGTTGTGTCTGATCTTAACCTACCCACTGCGCCCTCCTCGAGAGCATGGTACACATGCACTGCCTCCCCACTACCATGCCTGTCTTCTCCCTAGGGCAGTGCATCTCCTGTTCTGTCATGTATTTGTTTTTTGATTACAAAACAAATACAAGTGCTGGTGACTCTCAGCAGGCCTGGCAGCATCTGTGGAGAGTAAGCAGAGCTGACGTTTCGAGTCCAGTGACCCTTCTTCAGAACTTTTTCACCTTCCTGTGGTTCTATTGTCAGTTTTAATGTTAAGTTGATGCCTCTTGCTCTGAATATCGAATTCCTCATGATTCCCTCTCTCTCCATGCAAAATAGGATACAGGCTAGACCATTTCAGACCGAGATAGGAAACATTTCTTCACTCGGAGTGTAGCAATCCTGTGGAATTCTCTACCACAGAAGGCTGTGGAGACAAAGTCATCGACCAAGTATATTCAAGAATTAGCAGGATAATTGTTAGATTTGAAAGACTTCAAGATGTGTTGGGAGAAAGCAGTAATATGGCAATGAGATGAAGAAACAGTCTTTTTTTTAACCATTTCATGGGATGAGGACATCACTGGTTAGGTCAGCATTTGTTTCCCATCCCTAATTGCTCAAAGGATGGGTAAGAGTCAACCACATTGCTATGGGTCTGGTGTCATGTGTAGGCCAGACCACGTAAGGATGGCAGTTTCCTTCCTTAAAGGGCATTAGTGAACCAGATGGGCTTTTCTGACAATCGACAATGGGTTCATGGGCATCATTAGATTCTTAATTCAGATTTTTATTGATTTTTAAATTCCACCATCAACTGCGGTCTCTGGATTAACAGTCCAGTGCTAATACCACTAGGCCATCACCTCCCCATGATCATATTGAATGGTTCAAAGGGCTGAACAGCCTACTCCTGCTCTTAGTTTCTATTTGTTTAGCTGTCCATGGGTTAGTTCAAATTTGATAACCGTGAGAAATACTTCCCTCTCCTTGGCTCCTGCCTCTTTCAGAATTGCAATCGTTGCTGCCTTCAGGAAACCTGACATTTACAATATTGTCCTCACTGCCCCATTTCAACACTCACTTCCCTCTCCAATCCTATAGTGCTGTATCACTTCCTAAATCTGTGCTATCTGTCTGTGTTCGTTTTGGAAATTGGCTGTTCAGGTTTCAGCCAGTCATTGCCCCTAAAACACTCTGAATTCAAAGTCGCAAATCAGAATCAGGATGTCTCTCTACCTGTTCTGTACATGCAGCTTGCTCCCACATCACCAGCTTATGAGCATGACTCTTTCATCATTCACCTTGGCTGTAACCTGAGCAGAGACTTCTGATCTCACTCAGACAACATTCCCTCGAATTCCATAAACATTAACCTTGGTCTCAAAAGCCTCAATAGAAATTTGGGAAGACCGAAAGCATCTACTTCACAATCTTGTTCAAAATCCCATGTTTGTTGACCTCAACATTGACATGTGTGCCCTCTATTATTTAGAATTCCCAATGTAAAACCTTGGTGCTGACACCCAGGAATCACTTACAGATTGGAATCTAATCAAGTGATGCAAGGTGGTTTATTCATAGAAAAGCAGATACCCGGGAGTGAGTTACGTACAGGCTAGAATCTAGTTGAGGGGTTTGGATGGATTAATATATGGAATAACAAAAAACTGGGAGTGAGTTACAGACTAGAATCTAATTGAGGGGTTTAGGTGACTTATATACAGAGTAACAGAGTGCAACACCTTCTTTGAAATGCAAGGGTAAAGACAGTTACTGCATTCTGCTCTGTTTGGGTGTGTGAATGGGCAGATGGACTCCAATTACAGCTGGTGATGTCATATAATCATAGACTCTCTTCAGTACACATAGAGGCCATTAAGCCCATTGAGTCTGCACCAATCCTCTGAAGAGCATCCTACCCTAACCCCGTAACCCTGTATTTCGCATTGCTAACCCACCTAGCCCGCACATCCCTAAACGCTATGGGCAATTTAGCATGGCTAATGCACCTAACCTGCACATCTTTGGACAGTGAGAGGAAACCGGAACACCCAGAGGAAACTCATGCAGACACAAGGATAACGTACAAACTCCATACAGATAATCTCCCAAGGGTGGAATTGAAGCCAGATTCCCTGGTGCTGTGAGGCAGCAGTGCTAACCACTGAGCCAACATGTCACTCACTGTGTCCTCTCAGACATTTATCATAATGAGGGCTGCCATGATATGAGGGAGAGCTCACAGTTTCACTGGGTTGAGAGGAAACCGGCTTTGCTGAGCAGTTGATGGTTGCAGAGGGATTTTGTTTCTGACTAGTGGAGGTTGTGAGCCAAGTCCTTAATGGTTTCGCTCTCTTTTTCTCTCTGTGTTTAGGTGCAGGCGACCAAGCCCTCTTCTCCTCTGTTTACTCAATACTCATGCAGCAACTTCCACGAGAGCCAATGGAATGGAGAAGGTATAGTATCTGGAATAGTTTATCCTCCATTTGCCTATTTGATTAGCTGTCAGCAGACTGCAAAACGCTGTAGGTCACAGACTCATGCTTAGAACATCAAACCATTTGCATTCTACAGAGCTCAGTGACTGTCCTTAGTATGTGGGTGCCATTGCTTTGTTCTTTCCCTGAGTCTGTGAGAGGAGTCCTGGCAGGAGACGGATTTACCACGCTGCTTTCCAGAAAACTATATTCCTGCAAGATTGGTTCGTTCCCCTGTCCTGCTTCAGTCTATGGCCCACGACCCTCCATCCCCACATCCACCCCCCATCCCCCCTCCTCCTCTCTCTCCTCCCCCCTCCCCCACAGTTATTTCCTTGCCTTTCCCTGAGGAAAGTGCCCCAAATTGGCACAGCCAGAGTTAGATCCTAAATGAAAAAACAGTGGACGCTAGAAATCTGAAATAACAACAGAAAATGCTGGAAATGCTCAACAGGTCAGGAGGAGTCTGTAGACAGAAACAGAATTACTGTTTTTGGGTGAGTTGTTATTCTGTTGAAAGGTCACCCGACCTGAAGCAGTTGGCCGTCTTCTGTGATCCATTCAGGATGTCTGGCATTTTTTGTTTCTATTTCAGCCTTGGATCCACTTCTGCCCAATCCATGCTGTATAGAACCATTGCCTCGCCAAGAAGAATCTCTGGTGATTTTCCAGGGTACTATATCCACTGCTTGAGCGTTAAGGGAGTCACTGCCATCGTCCAGACTTTGTCCATTTTGTCGTTATGGTACTAACTGAAATCCTGGGACTGACAGTCCAGTGAACGTGTGTTCGCATTGATGCAATTCAGCTTAGGGAGGGAAGCCCGCCCGCTTTCCTCATCCAGCCCGGGCTACATGTGACTCCAGTCCCACAGGATCATGATCAGATATTAACTGCCTTCATCTATCACCAGCTTAGCAGGATCACTGAAGAGACAAGCAGTAAATGCTGAGATTGCCAATGCTGCCCAGGTCCTGCAAATCAGTTTAAGAAAGAAATCATGCTTGATGAAGCACTTCCAAATTCCTAAAATGTAGGAGAATTAGGCCATTCAACCCATGCCATTCAATGAGATTGTGGCTGATCTGATGATCTTCCACTCTGCTTTCCTGCCTTTTCCCCAAGTCCGTTGATGCCCAGATTGGGAGAGGAACTGTAGAAAGATGTGTGTGTTGCAGTGTTGGATAAGTTTGGGGGAGCAGTGTGTGAAGATTAGCTTGATGTACTAAAGAAAGTGAGGTAAACAGCAATAGCGCGATCTTAAGGTAAAGTACCTCCATGTGCTCCTCACACTTGCTGTTGGAGGGTGAGGTGGCGTAGGCAAGTAAGACTATTTGTTTTAATTTGAGGAAAGAAGCCAGGGTTAGCTTTATGTCCCAGGATGATTGTGTAAGAATAGGTGGAAGAGTTGGACGTTTATTGGCTCAGCTAGATCTGCTCCTGAATAGCTGGACCAGTTGTCTGCATACTATCAAGGTCAGAAGTCACACGACACCAGGTTACAGTCCAACAAGTTTATTTGCCGTCACAAGCCTTGTCCACCCCAGTCCAACACTGGCACCACCACATCATGGCATGCTATCAAGGCTACATCTCTTGGATATATCTTTCTGAGGAAGGGTCACTGAACCTGAAATGTTAACTCTGATTTTCTCTTCACAGATGCTGCTGGACCTGCTGAGCTTTTCCAGCAACTTCTGTTTTTGTTCCTGACTTACAGTGTCCGCAGTTCTTTTGGTTTTTATATCTCTGTAGCCCCCTAATTTCATCACTTTCAAATATGCCTAATCTCTCTAATCTTTACTTGTATATAAAAGCCCTCATTTCTGGTATCATTCTGGTAAATCTCCTTTGCACTCCAGGGCTTTAACATCCTTCCTGAAAGAACTAACACAATACTCCAAATGCGGTCTGACCAATGATTTTGTAGAGGTGTGGCATCACTGTCTTGCTTTTCTACTCTTATGCCTCTCTTTCTTAACCCAAGGATCCTAAAAGCCTTCTTAACCATTACAACTTTTAGCCGCCATTCTACCATTACCATCGAACCAGGGGAGCTACCCTGGCTCAATGGTGAGTGCAGGAGGACAATGCCAGGAGCAGCACCAGGCATACCTGAAGATGAGGAATCAACCTGGTGAAGCTAACAAACAAGACTACTTGCATGCCAAAAAGTGAAAGCAGCAAGTGATAACCAGAGCTAAGCGATCTCAGCCAACAGTTCAGATCTAATCTCTGCAGTCCTGCCATATCCATTTGAGTGGTTGTGGCCAATTAAGCAGCCAAAAGGAAGATGTGAAATTACAGTCTCTATGCCCGTGGTAATGAGTAAACTGATGGAGTTGTGGGTTGACTGGACGCTGGAGTCTGATGGACTTTGACCTCATTTCTTAAAAGCGATGATTAATGAGATTGTTAGTTGATGGATAGGTATTAATTTTCCTAATTTAGCGAGATTCTGGAAAGTTTCCATCAGACTGGAAAGTAGAAATATGTTTGTAGAAATGTATTTAGAAATATCACAACTTTATTCAAGGGAGGGAGGAACAAAACAGGGAACTATAGACTCGCTAATGTGACATCTGTCATGGGGAAGATGTTAGACTTGATTTTTAAGGAGGTTATAACTGGGCATATAATGAAATTGGAAGAGTAGCATGGTTTTATGCAAAGGAAATTGTATTTAGCTGATATATTGGAACACTGTTGAAGGAGCAACATGCTCTGTGGATCATGTGAATGAAGACATACCATATTTGGGTTTCTAGAAAATGTTTGACAAGATACCACATTAAAATAGGAGCTCACAGTGATGGGGGTAACAGCCGAGATTGTTTATTGCTAGCCAGCCAATCTGTGTAAATGGGTCTGAGTGGGGAGAAATCCGACAGATGAAATGTAATGCTGGAAAACATAAAATTGTTCAGTATGGCAGGAGGAATAAAATGCAGAGTATTAATTAAAAAGAGAACAACTACAAAACACTGAGGTGCAGAGGGATTTTGGTGTTCATGAGTCGAAGGCTGAAGGGATTACAGAATCACTATGGCACAGAAAAAGGCTACTCAGCTCACAGTGCTTGCACCTGCTCTTCAAATCATCATTATTACCAAGTTACCAAGTAAAGGGAAAGACAAGCCCTGGACGGATTAAAGAAGGACAAGAACATCACTATACTACTTGCAGACAAAGGGCGCATGACAGTGATAATGAATAAAAGGGACGACATCTCCAAAGCACAAGCACTGCTCGCCGAAGAGAACACATACCGACCAGTACAAATTGACCCGACCCCACAACTAGGCAACAAAATCCTCTCCACTCTACAAAAACTTAAACAAACAGGACAGATCAACAAAACAGACTTCCTAAGAATGAAACCCGAAGGAACCAACACACCCAGATTCTACGGCCTTCCTAAAGTGCACAAGCCGGAAGTCCCCCTCAGACCCATAGTCTCCCTGCCAGGCATTCCATCGCACAGATTAGCCAGAGAACTACAAAGAAGACTCAGGCACCTAGTCAACAAGTCACCCCACTCCATCCACTCAGCCCAAGGATTCCTCAGCTCCATCAAAGACATAAAGATAGAGGACGAAGAGACCATGATATCGTTTGATGTCACTGCTCTATTCACATCAATAGACATACCACTAGCAAGGGAAACAATGACAACATTACTGGAACAAGAGCAAGACCCCAGTGAAACCATCTCCAAGGACAACATGCTCAAACTATTGGACCTATGCCTGACCACCCACTTCACTTTCAACGGCCAAACATATGAACAAATCAACGGGACGCCCATGGGATCACCTATCTCCGGACTCATAGCAGAAGCACTGATGCAAAGACTAGAAAGGACTGCCCTTCTGCAAATCCAACCCAAACTGTGGATACGCTACGTAGATGACACCTTTGTCATCATTAAACAGACCAAATTAGAGGAGACACACAAACTTATAAACAACTCCCTCACTGGAATAAAATTTACCAGAGAGGAGGAGAAGAACAAACGGCTCCCATTCTTGGATGTCACGGTAGAGCGCAAGACAAATGGGGAACTGCAATCGAAAGTACACCGAAAAGCCACTCACCCAGACCAGGTACTGAACTTTAACAGTAACCGTCCCAGCACACACAAACAAAGCTGCGTGCGAACACTATTTAAAAGGGCAACAACACACTGCAGCAACACTGAACTACGCCAGGAAGAAGAAGAAGAATACCTCTTCCAAGTATTCAAGGATAATGGATATCCAAAGAACTGGGTCAGAAGATGCCCACACGAACGGCATCGGAAAGACACTACATGGCCCGACACACTCCTCGCACTACCCTATATCAGAAACACGTCGGAACTCACCACAAGACTCCTACGACCGCTGAGCATCAGAGTGGCACACAAACCCACATCAACCCTATGACAATTGCTCACCCGAACTAAAGACCCACTCCCCACCATGGACAGGACCAATGTCACCTACAAGATTCCCCGCAGAGACTGCGAGAAACACTACATCGGACAAACAGGAAGGAAACTAACAACAAGAGTACATGAACACCAACTGGCTACAAAAAAACACGACCAATACTCACTCATCTCAATCCACATGGACAAGGAGAGCCACCACTTCGACTGGGACAACACCAAGATCCTGGGACAGGCTAGGCAGAGACAGGCATGAGAATTCCTGGAAGTATGGCACTCTATGAAGCAAGTTATTAATAAACACATTGAACTCGACCCCATATACATTCTACTATGAAGGAAAACCAGAAGTGAGGCAATCCATCTCAACGGACCCCAGAGTTTAAAAACCAAGCGGGAAAACACACCGACGCTTCATCGGAGGCTACCCTGAGCATGTTACCCAGCATGGTAACGAAACGTCTGCAAAACAACAAACCAGCTCGGCAAGCCAACCAACCTCAACAACCTCAATTATTACCAAGTGCCAATCTCCTGCATTTTTTTCCCTGCCCTGAAAAAATTTCTTTCCAAATAATCATCCAGTGCCTCTCTCGAATGTGTCAGTTGAACCTGCCTCCATCACGTTTCCAGGTAGTGTAGTACATGTCCTGACTACTCGCTGTGTGAAGAGGTTTTGTTTTGCAGTACACTTGCTTCTTTTGCACATCACTTTTTGTCATAGCCTTTTGTTCTTGGAGTGTGGTTGGAGTCATACCTGACACATAGGAAGATTGTGGTTGTTGGAGGTCAGTCATCTCAGCTCCAGGACATCACTGCAGGAGTTCCTCAGGGTAGTGTCGTAGTCCCAACCATCTTCAGCTGCTTCATTACTGACCTTATGGTGGAGGGAAGGTCAGAAGTGGGGATGTTCACTGATAATTGCAGAATGTTCAGCACCATACTGAAGCAGTTCATGTTCAAATCTAAAAAGATATGGACACAATCCAGGCGTAGGCTGACAAGTGGCAGTAATATTCGTGCCACACAATCTAACCATCATTCCTTGATATTCAATCACATTATCATCACTGAATCTCTCACTGTCAACATCCTGGGGTTACTGTTGATCAGAAACTGAACTGGACTCATTGTATAAATACAGTGGGTACAAGACCAGGTCAGATGCTAGGAATACTGCAGTAAGTAACTCGCCTCCTGACTCCTCAAAGCCTGTCTGCATCTACAAGGCACAAGTCAGGAGTGTGATGGAATACTCCCCACTTGCCTGGATGAGTGCAGCCCCAACAACACTCAAGAAGCTTGACACCATCCAGCACAAAGCAGCCCGCTCGATTGGCACTACATCCACAAGCATTCACTCCCTCCACCACCGACGCTCACTAACAGCAGTGTGTACCATCTACAAGATGCACTGCAGAAATTTACCAAAGATCCTCAGACGGACTTTCCAAACCCACAGCCATTCCCATCCAGAAGAACAAGGGCAGCAGATACGTGGGAACCCACCTCCCCCTTCAAGCTCCGCTTCAAGCCACTCACCGTTCTGACTTGAAAGTATATCGCTGTGCCTTCACTGTCACTGGGTCAAAATCCTGGAATTCCCTCCCTAGGGCATTGTGCATCAACCCACAGCACATGGACTGCAGCAGTTCAAGACAGCAGCTCACTGTCACCTTCCCAAGGGGCAGCAAGGAACAGGCAATAAATGCTGGCCCAGCCAGCAACACTCACCTCCCACGAGTGAATCAAAAAAACATACATGGCTACCTTCAGAGTATCATGCATGTGAACCTCATGGTCCCTCTGCTCCTGTACTCCCCTCAGAGTTGTACCATTGAGACACCACACCATAACTGTTGTATTGAGAAGGAAAGTGTCATCAACCCTCAGCCAGTTTTCTCCCAAGGCTGTGCAATAAGTGTAACCACTCACATTCATGTGAAAGGGTCTCACTCCCAGGTGAACGGACATTCAAGAGGAAGAAGCATGGACAAGCAGTCAGTGCTAATGCATAGGCAGAGTGCACAGGTTCCACACTGAGAAGGCTGAGCTGGATGAAATGGAGATTGATGAGATTAGCCCACAAAGCACTTCCTGGGAAGGTCATTGAAGTCGAGTGGGATTGAGGCAGTTTTCGGCTGGTCAGGGAGAGATAAAGTGAAGGTCTAGGCTCTTGGTTGGTCAGAGAAAGAGGGAGGGAGAGGTTCAGCTCTCAGCTGCTCCGAGACCGTGAGGCAGCCAAATGTTTAATTTTATTTTCCCTCCTCTGTTCCAGGTCCTATGGGCGGCCACCAAAGATGATCCACCTTGAAGCGAATTTTGTTCAGTTTAAAGAAGAGCTGATACCTAAAGAAGGAAACCGAGCGCTTTTAACCTTCCCTTTCCTGCACCTATTCTGGACAGACTGCTGTGTGAGTAATAGTGATCTGTGTGTACCTGTGTCAGTCAGTGTCGCTGAACCGTGCTGCTTGGTCGCACTGTTGATGACGCCTTCCATCAGTTTACCAATGATTGAGAGTGGGGCTGATGGGGCGGTAATTGTCTGGATTGGATTTGTCCTGCTTTTTGTGTACAGGACATACCTGGGTAACTTTTCACATTGTCGGGTAGATACCAGAGTTGTAACTGTACTGGAACAGCTTGGCTAGGGGAGCGGCATGCTCTGGAGCACATGTCTTCAGTACTGTTGTCTGAATGTTGTCAGGGCCGGTATCCTTTGCAGTATCTAATGTCTCCAACCGTTTCTTGATATCACGTGGAGTGAATCGACTTGGCTGAAGACTGTTATCTGTAATGCTGGGGACCACTGGAGGAGGCTGAGATGGGTCATCCATTCAGCACTTCTGGCCGAAGATTGCTGTGAATTCTTCAGCCTTATCTTTTGCACTGATGTGCTGGGCTCTTCCATCATTGAGGATGGGATATTTGTGGAGCCGCCTCCTCCAGTGAGTCGTTTAATCGTACACTACCATTCATGACTGGATGTGGTAGGACTGCAGAGCTTAGATCTGATCCATTGGTTGTGGATTTGCTTATCTGTGTCTCCTTACACTGTTAGAACCATATAAAATTAAAAGAAACAAAGCAGAATAGCAGGAGTAGGCCAGTCGGCCTTTCAAGCCTGCTCCACCATTTAATATGGTCATGGCTGATCATTCAACTCAGTCCCCTGTTGCACTTTCTTCCTTTGATCCCTGTTAACCCTGACAACTGTCTAATGCCTTCCTGAAAACATTGTGTTTAAGATGCTTCCTCACTTCACTTCTGAATGACTTGATTCTAATTTTGAGATAGACTCGATATTCTGCACACAAGCAGCCCTGTTTGGTGGCTTCACCAGGTTGATGCCTCATTTTTCAGGTATGCCTGGTGCTGCTTCTGGCATGCCCTCCTGCACTGTCCATTGAACCAGGTAGAGCCCCTGGCTTGATGGTAATGGTTGAGTGGGGGATATGCCAGGCCGTGAGGTTGCAGATTGTGCTGGAGTACAATTCTGGTGAGGGGTGATGTTAAGTAATAACTTGACCGATTGTGTATAGTCCCCTCGACTGAGTGAGAGACCACAGCCAGAGGTGATGGCCTTGCTATGGGCTGTGCAGTACTATATCCCTGTGTGGTATGTGAAACGTATTCTTTAATTTCAATGTTCTAGGACACTGAGGTTTACAAAGCAACTGCAAAGGATGAGATCACAAAATGGCAAAACATTTTAAAAGCTTACAGCAGCTCTGATTGGCTGATTGTTGTTGTGGAGAGTGATGCCAAAAAAAAGAATAAAACCAACATTCTCCCGCGGACATCAATCGTCGACAAGATCAGAAATGACTTCTGCAACAAACAAAGTGACAGGTAGCAGAATCCACTGTTTCTCACCCTCATCGCAAAAATTCCAGCCCCGAATGGAAATCGTTGCTCTGCCTGTAATTTCCTAACCTGGCCGTGTCTACAGTCAGGAGCAAGTCCGCCTGTCTCTCTTTCTGACTTGTCCTTTTCTCTGACAGATGTGTAGTGCTGACAGATCCCCTGAAGGATTCTTCCCGCACTCAGGAATCTTGGAATGCGTTCTTCACTAAGCTCCGCACTCTGTTGCTTATGTCATTTACCAAGAACCTGGGAAAATTTGAGGATGAGATGAGAACCATGAGAGAGAAGAGGACAGAGGCAGGCTGGAGTTTCTGTGAATATTTCATGGTTCAGGTACGGTTGCCCGAGTCTAGGACAGTTCATTCAGATTTTCTCTCACTGCCAAAAGAGGAAAATGTTGCCTATCAGCCTGGTTGTGTTTGACTGAAGCAGCAAAAGCTGATTCACTGGGAGCAGGAGCTGTCATGGAGCCCTGCATGAGGCCTGGAGTGTCTGTGTTTTCCAGCAAGATTAAGTGAAGGGAAGAGAGTAATATGAACTGCGATCTACTGTGGGCTTATTTTTCTCGCTTTTGTTGTCTCTCGCCGTCTCGCGCTGTCTTTTTCTCCAAGGAAGCTCACTCTGTGTCCCTCCAACTCTTTTTCTGTGGCCCTTTCTCCCTGACACTTCCTTTCTTTAAGGTGAGAGGGGAAAGATTTAAAAGGAGCCTGAGGGGTAACATTTTCCTGCAGAAGGTGGTGCGTGTATGGAATGTGCTGCCGGAGGAAGTGGTGGAGGTTGGTACAAATACAACACTTAAAAGGCATCTGGATAAGTAAATGAGTAGGAAAGGTTTAGAGGGATATGGGCCAAATGCTGGCAAATGGGACTAGGTTCCACCTGGTCAGCGCAGATGAGTTGGACCAAAGAGTCTGTTTCCATGCTGCATGACTGTGTCTCGGACTCTCTTCCCTCCCATCTCTCTGTTTCTGTCTCTCTTTCTCTCTTTCCTTCTCCCCCCACATCCCCTGAGATGTGAAGAATGTTCACCCTGTAGCCAGTGCACTGCTACAGCCCTCACTCCCTCCAGCAGTACAGAGCAGTTGCTGTGTGTCATGTACAAACGTGACAGGTGATTGTGTGTGTGTGTGTGTGTGTGTGTGTGTGTGTGTTCAGCGTTGCTGATAATGTTTCTGTTTCTTGTGAAGGAAGAGTTGGCGTTTGTGTTCGAGATGTTGCAACAGTTTGAGGACGCCCTAGTGCAGTATGATGAACTCGATGCACTCTTCACACAATATGTGGTCAACTATGGTGCTGGAGGTGAGTGTTAGTTTGGCTTTCCCCAGTTAAGCAGAGAAGGGATCCTGAACTGTCCACAACTGACTTAGCACCCCACTAACAGCTAAAGGGTTTCAAAAGTAGCTTCAGTCCTGAGGGTCGAAGGAAATGAGCGTATAAGCGAGAATGCACGCTTGACAAGATAAACTAAATATTACAGCCAAATATTGCCTCCCCACATTTCCCAAACTATGTCTCATTCTTCATCCCTCGCCCCTGAGGTGATCTGGATAAACCTGCCTAATCCTGGCCTGTCTGATGTTTGCTGATGTTTGCTCCTGTTCCCTTGTATTTCAGATGGAGCCAATTGGCTGACCTCTTTCTGCCAGCCGGTTCGAAGCTGGAATGGGCTGGTGCTTCGCAAACCAATCGACATGGAGAAGAGGGAGCTGATCCAGAAGAACAAGGCCACCCTGCTGGATCTGCGTAGCTATCTATTCTCAAGGCAGTGCACTCTGCTCGTCTTCCTGCAGAGACCGTGGGAGGTAGCACAGCGAGCCCTTGAGCTTCTACACAACTGTGTCCAGGAGCTGAAGCTGCTTGAGGTACCTGCCGACTGGCCTCTCCGCTCAGTCTAGCGAAGAATGTGGGGAGACTATCACTGAAAATGAGTTTAATGATGAGATCTCAGGATTTTCTCATTCTCTTGTAACACAGCTGATGGGAAAGGATGTCAGAGGGAAGGCCCCATTAGATTGGAAAGTAGTAAGTCCTTTATTCCAAAACAGAGGGAGACCAGAAGAAACAGAAAACTAAAGGCTAGCTAGCTTAGTGTCTGTCATAGGGAAGGTGATAGAATTCATCATTAAAGAGCTTAAAAACATTCAAGGATTCTGCTTCCCTGTCTTTTCAGGAAGAGAGTTCCAAAGGCTCAAGACCCTCTGAGGGAGAACATTGAATTTAATTTATGTAATCTTAAATAAACTTCTTCACGGTTGACTATACCACCAATTTTGGTATCATCTGCAAATTTACTAATTATGCTTCCTAAATTTTCATCTAATTCTTTATGTAAATGACAAACAAAAGTGGAATCAGCTCCGAACCCAATGGTCACAGGCCTCCAGTCCAAAAAAAAATCCTCCACCACCATCCTCTGTCTCCCACCATCACGCCAATTTTGTATCCAATTGGCAAACTCTTCCCGAATCCCAAGTGATTGAACTTTACTATCCATCTGCCATGCGGAACCTTGTCAAAGGCTTTACTAAAGTCCATGTAGACAATGTTTACCACTCAGCACTCATCAATATTTTTAGTTATGTCCTGAGAAAACTCAATCAAGTTTGTGAGACATGATTTCCCACGCACATGCTGACTATCCCTAATCAGTCCTTGTCTCTCAGAATCCCATCCAACAACTTACTCACCACTAAATGTCAGACTCACTGGTCTGTAGTTCCCAGGCTTCTCCTTACAGCCTTTCTTAAGTAAAAGCACAACATTAGCCACGCTCTGACACTTCACCTGTGGTTATAGATGATACAAAGATTTCTGGTAGGGGCCCCATAATTTCCACCCTAACTTCCCACAATGTCCAGGGACACACTTGATCAGGACCCAGAGATTTATCCACCTTTGTTTTTTAAGACCTTCAACACCACCTGTTCTGTAATGTGGACTGTTTTCGAGACATCAGTATTTATATTCCCGAGTTTCCTAGTGTCCATGTCCTTCTCCACAATAAAAGCTGACGCGAAATGTTTGTTTAATATCTCTCCCATCTCCTGTGGTTCCACACATAGATGACTTCGTCGATCTCTAAGGGGCCCTATTTTCTCCCTAGTTGCTCTTTTGCTTTTAACGTACTTATAGAATCTGTCTTTGCATTATCCTTAACCATATCTGCCAAGGCTACCTCATATCCCCTTTTTACCTCCTGGTTTCCCTCTTAAGAACGCCCCTACACCCCTTATAATCTTCGAGAGATTCACTTGATTCAGTTGTCTGTACCTAGTATAAGCCCCCTTTTCTTGACCAGACCCCCAATATATTTATCGATTGTTCCCTGCTCCTACCAGCCTTAGCCTTCACTCTAACAGGAACATACTACCTCTGAACTTTCATTATCTCATTTTTGAAAACCTCCCACTGTCAGTAGTCCCTTTATCTGCGAACAGTTTACTCCAGTCAACTTTTGAAAGTTCCTGCCTCGTACCATCAAAAATTGCCTTACTCCAATTAAGAATTTTTACCTTTATTCAAGGCCTATCCTTTTCCATAACTATTTAAAAAGTAATAGAATTGTGGTCACTGGTTCCAAAGTGCTCCTCCACTTCCACTTCAGTCAGTTGTCCTGCCTTATTTCACAAAAGAAGGTCAGGTTTTAACAAACTCCTCACCAACCAAACCTTTAACGCTATGGCAGTCTCAGTTAATGTTTTGGAAAATTTAAAATCCCCTACTATTCTTACAGATATCTGAGATCTCTCTATATATTTGTTCGTTAGTTTCCCACTGACTATTGGGGGGGCCCGTAGTACAATCCCATCAAGGTGATCATCCCCTTCTTATTTCCGAGTTCCATTCATATACCTTCACTGGACAATCCCTCAGAAATATCCTCTTTAAACATAGCAGTAATGTTTTCCCTAATTTAAAAACACCACTCCCCTTCCTTTCTTGCCTCCCTTTCTGTAACATCTAAACTCTGGAAGATTGAGCTGCCAGTCCTATCCCTCCCTCAGCCACGTTTCTGTAATAGCTATGTCCCATGTTCCCAGTCATGCCCTGAGTTTGAGACAAAAAAAACTGCAGATGCTGGAATCCAAGGTAGACAAGCAGGAGGCTGGAAGAACACAGCAGGCCAGGAAGCATCTGGAGGAGAGGAGCAGTCAACGTTTTGGCTATTACTCTTCTTCAGGCCCTGAGTTCGTCTCCCTTACCTCCTAGGACCCCTTGCATCGGAATAAAAGAAGTTTAATTCTTCAGTTACTTCATTCTCTGCCTTGGACTTGCCTGCCTTTTCTAATTAACTTGCTCTCTTTAACTTCTCAACCATCCTACTCTGTCTTTCTGTTGTCACTGCTACTTGGGATCTGCATTTCCCCCTCCCCCATTCCAACGCACGCATACGTGCACACACATCCAAATAGCACCAGCACGTCACCCTACCTCAATATTAGTCCCCTTCCAGTTCAGGTGAAACATTCCCTTTTGAGCAAGTCTTTTCTGCCCCAGAAGAGATCTCCGTGATCCAAAATTTGAACCCTTGTCCACTACACTAGTTCTACAGCCATTGATTTATCTGCCCTATTTTATTCCTACTGCCACTAGCACGTGGCACCAGGGGTAATCCAGAAATTACTACCTTTGAGGTCCTGCTTTTTAACCTCCTGCCTAACTTCCTGTATTCGCTGTGCAAAGTATCAACCCTTTCCCTAACTATGTCATCCTGGCCAATGTGTACAACAGCCTCCGGCTTCTCACACTCCCCTTTGAGAATATGCTGCAACTGCTTTGAATGTCTTTGTTTAAAGTGATTGGCAAAATTAAGTGGGACTCATTTTGTTTCCAGTGAGTCGTTCTGATCAGGCATGTTCTGCCTGAGCGCATAGTGGAAGCAGGTTCAATCTTGTCTTTCAAGAGGGAATTTTGTTATTGTCTGATCAGGTAAAATGCAATGGGAATTGAGGGCAATGAGGACAACATGAAAGGGTGGGACTGAGCATAGTTACAATGGATGGAGTGGCCCCTTCCTTAATGGTGAACTTTCTGAGACCCTGTAACTTGTCGGTTCCCTGTCCAGGTCTCTGTTCCAATTGGTGCCCTGGATTGCTGGGTCTTCTTGAGCTGCCTTGAGGTCCTGCAGAGAATTGAAGGCTGTTGTGATCAAGTCCAGTTGGAGAATAATTATTGCCACACTGTCGGACTTTGGAGTTATGCTACAGAAAAGGTACCTCAGTGTCTTGGTAGCTGAGTCGAGCTATGATCAGAACTCCTTATCTGGTTGGGGTTACAAACACGTTCCAGAGCCATGAGATTAACACACTAATGAGGGTGGACTTCCACCATGGTAATGATATGCTGAAATGATCTAAATCAACACCAGGAGTAATAGTTATTTCTAATTTTCATCCTTAATGTTTATGAAGCATTGACGGTCAAGTTGTCCCATGGTGGTACTGTCCCTGGACTGGTAATCCAGAGGCCCACACTGATGCTGGGATTGATGCAGATTCAATCAACAAAACACTGGTCTAATTAACATTAACAAATTACCGGGTTATTGTAGAAAGCCTTCTGTTTCTCCAGCATTCTTTAGGGAAGGAAACCTGTGATGGGATTAGGGTTCGTTTAACCCTATTGTCCTTACCTGGTTCAGTTTACACATAACTCCAGACCCACAGCAATGTGGTTGTCTGTGAACTGTCCTATGAAATGGCAGAGCTGTTTATCAAAAAGCAGCATAAAATCCACTGGGTGTCTTTTCAGTTCTGGCACAGTTCAGGAAGGCAGTTCACCACCATCTTCTAAAGGATAATCAGAGACTAGCAGTTAACATTTTCCTGGCCCCCAGAGCCTACATCTATGAACATTACCAGTCCATACCTCTTCTCCACCTTACCACCACCACACACACACACGGATAGGAGGGAACTGCTGGGAGTAAGTCATTGCCTGAGGTGAGCCTACACCCTGTCTGAGTGAGCCAGGGCAGTCTCCAGCTGGGTGACCATCTCTCAGCTTCTCCCTTGCTGCTGAGTGATGTCTCATATTGCCCCATGGCATCGCAATGTGAGCTGATATGGTGCTACATTTACCTCCTAATGGATTGGGAGGGAGTTCTGTTCAAAGGCCTCTTGGCGTCCATCTGGTTCTAATGTTCTGGGAGCACAAGTTCGGCGGCTAGTTTACTTAGACATGCTGTGTGTATGTGACATTGCACTGACCTAGTCTACAATAAACCCTGTGCTCTGTAAATCCATCAGTTGCAGTCTCTGGGTTACCTGTGTGGTCTGATCTCGGAGAAAGGACCAAATTCCGAAGAGCTGAACAGGACGGTGGATGTTTTAGCAGGATTGGGAGCTGAGCACCCTGAAACCGGTAAATAGCTCCCTGCAATGTTTTGTGTCTATCTCCCCTGTTCTGGCACAGGCCCCTCTCTCACTCTCTCTGTTTGAGTACGTATTTGGTTTGTACAAAGTGATGAATTTGACTTGGAGTTGTTTTGTTGTGAGTGGGGGCTAACTGAGAGGGTGCTGCCTGGGAATGAGTGCTGGATTCAGCAGTAACACCGAGTGAGCAGACAGAGTCCTACCTGTGAGTGTTGAAAGGATGTATCAAATTGTGGGGAAGGCAGGGGTGGGGATCCCTCATCTGAGATAGAGATGAGGATTTTTGTTTTTCTCTGAGGATCTTGATTCTTTGAAACAGTGGCAAGGCCCCATTGTTTATTTGTAAGGCTGAGGTAGATAGACCCTTGCTAAGCAAGAGTGTGTTGGAAGGTAATCGGGGTTAGGTGGGAATGTGGGTTTGAGGTTACAGTTAGATTAGCCACAATCTTATGAACTGGCAGAGCAAGCTTGAGGGGCTGAATAGCCTGCTCCTGTTCCTCGTTTGCTGTAACACTGGGATTGTTTGTATATGTCTCTCACTCTTCACTGCCACCTGTCTCTGACTGGAGGATTGTTGGTCTGTATGCTGTGTGCTGCAGCGGTCTCTTGTGGGGACACTCGGTAATACAGCACTACTTCTCAACAATTGTGAGAGATAGTAGGAACTGCAGATGGTGGAGAATCTGAGATAACAAGGTGTAGAGCTGGATAAACACAGCAGGCCAAGCAGCATCAGAGGAGCAGGAAGGCTGACGTTTCGGGTCTGGACCTTTTTTCAGAAATGGGGGAGGGGAAGGGGATTCTGAAATAAACAGAGAGAGAGATGGGGGGAGGCAGATGGAAGATGGATAAAGGAGCAGATAGATGGAGAGGCGACAGACAGGTCAAAGTGGCGGGGATGGAGCCAGTAAAGGTGAGTGTAGGTGGGGAGTTAGGGAGGGGATAGGTCAGTCCAGGGAGGACAGACAGGTCAAGGAGGCGGGATGAGGCTGGTAGGTAGGGGTGGGCATGGGGCTTGAGGTGGGAGGAAGGACAGACAGGTTAGAGAGGCAGGAACGAGCTGGGCTGGTTTTGGGATGCGGTTGGGGGAGGGGAGATTTTGAAGCTTATGAAGTGCACATTGATACCATTGGGCTGCAGGATTCCCAAGCGAAATATGAGATACTGTTCCTGAACTTTCGGGTGGCATCGTTGTGGCACTGCAGGAGGCTCAGGATGAACATGTCGTCCGAGGAATGGCAGGGGGAGTTGAAATGGTTCGCGACTGGGAGGTGCAGTTGTTTACTGCGAACTGAGTGTAGGTGTTCCACAAAGCGGTCTCCAAGCCTCCGCTTGGTTTCCCCGATGTAGAGGAGGCCACAACGGGAACAGCGGATGCAGTATACCACATTAGCAGATGTGCAGGTGAACATCTGCTTGATGTGGAAGGTCTTCTTGGGGCCTGGGATGGGGGTGAGGTGGGAGGTGTAGGGGCAGGTGTACCACTTCCTGCAGTTGCAGGTAAAAGTGCTGGGGATGGTGAGGCTGGTGGGGAGTGTGGAGTGGACAAGGGAGTCACGGAGAGAGTGGTCCCTCCAGAAAGCAGATAAGGGTGGGGAGGGAGAAGTGTCTTTGGTGGTGGGGTCAGATTGCAGATGGTGGAAGTGCCAGAGGATAATGCGTTGGATCCGGAGGTTGGTGGGGTGGTACGTGAGGACGAGGGGGATTCTGTTTTGGTTGTTATTGCAGGGAGGGGGTATGAGGGATGAGTTGAGGGAAATGCGAGAGACATGGTCAAGGGCGTTTTCGACCACTGCGGAGGGGAAGTTGCAGTCCTTGAAAAACGAGGACATCTGGGATGTCTGGGAGTGGAATGCCTCATCCCGGGAGCAGATGCGACAGAGGCGAAGGAATTGGGAATAGGGGATGGCATTTTTGCAGGAAGGTGGGTG